CGACTAAAAGTACTATATCTGAAAGTAAGGCGATGGAAATTTCTTTCATTCAAATAGCGAACATGGCGTATTTGGATGAAAGAAAACTGACGGCATTTCTCATGACTCTCATTTTCAGATCCAGAGAACCTTTTAGACATGCACTTTTCATATTCTACAAATTGTTTAGCAAATGCTCACGTTCCAAGTAAAATGAAAATTCTAACCTAAATCAAATGATCTTATGAAATTTGAATCTTAGGGCAGCTGCGAATACTTAATTATCGTTGGCATTTCTCCCTGCCGACGCGACTCGTCGAAAACTTCCCACGTCTTTTCACTCCTCCGCCCCCCTACGTTTTGCTATAGTGCTACGTTTTACCATGGCGCTACGTTTTATTATGATCGCGCTCCGTTTTATTAGATGTTACGCTCTGTTTTTCTATCGCGCTACGTTTTGTTATCTGGCCCCGTTTTATTATCGTGCTTCTTCTTAATAACTGAACGCCTGGAATAGGCTATAATTTTTTTCAAAGTCTAAGCAGGAAGAACCTCAATGCGTTGGTTTGATTTTTTACTGCAAAAAAAAAAAAAAAGTGAGACAAGGTGTCTACAATAGGGATCATTTAGTCCCTTAGTGGAAATGTTACTTAATTAAGAATTGCTGAATGAATAAGAAACAACACTGAGATACTGAAGTTAGCTTAGAAATCAATGATTCTAGTGTAACGCATCTCCAAGTGAATTCGAACCTCCCGTAGCCATTAAAGTGCACCTAAACGTAGCAACGTGCGAAATTTGCAAGAGGGTATCACGCTTCATACATTCCTCATACAATACACCTGGTCGGCATATTTCGGACAATATCGACCACAACCTTCCCAAACAAGTGAAAATGTGTGAAAAGCAGACTTTCGTGTTCTCGATTTGACGTCACATTATCCGCTAGAGCCATTCCTCTTTAAACTCGGTCGTGGGGCAAGATGGCGGCCGATTTTCCGTATTTTGACTAGGCACAGAAAATTTAAGATTTAAGCAAATTAAAAAATTTTTGCACAGAAATACTCCAAAAAATATGCTTATTTCGTTAAGCGAAAAAAAATTTTTGGGTTTAGGTGCACTTTAAGTATAAAGTTACAATGCGAAAGAACGATATATCGAATATATCGAATATATCGAAGAAAACAGTAACTAAAATACTATGTGATTGCTTGCCTAATAAAAAAAAAACGTTTAAGCTGCGCTTGATACTATTTTCTTCGGCTAACTGATTGCTTTTGTAACTTGAAAAGATAAAATAAAATTAAAACTGTAATCTTGTACCTGAACGATTCTCTTGAAATCTCACGGACCGCATTGCGTCATCCTCAGCCGATTTTTTCAAGTTTTTCTTTTCTTTTTTCGTTTTCAGGAGTCACCTTTTACACATGAAATGATCGACGTGCGACATTAAAAGCTTCGCTTCTCAATGCAGTTTCTTTTGAATTCGTTTGTTGTCTTACTGACACTCGAAATGACCATGACAAACTCGATGATAAAATGTGCTTTGCGTTAAACCTTCTAACTTTTACAAATGTTTGACTTTACCTACCTCACCTTCGGTGACTATGGTTGGGAATATAAGGTAAATTTGCAGCACCCCACCCTTCTGGATGGTTAGGGGCTGGCCCTACCTGGCGCCATTTGAAATTAAGAGTGAAGTATTGGCAGTGAGATCTCACATGTGATAAGTCCATCGTTCCAGAACTGAAATTGAGGGGGGAGGGGCATTTAGATGAGTCATCTAGGATGGTTACACAAGAATTCGAACAACTCTCCGCTTCCTATTTCGAATAAATGCCGTTTTCTGTACACCAGAATTTAAGCGAAGTACATGTGACAGCGTTTCTTAAACATAAGACCGAAGACAATGTTATCGACAGAAAAATTAGTAATTTGCAGGCTTTTGCTCGTTGTTTTATGACGGATTATAATAACAAGCAACACTAGAACATGCCTGATCGACTTCTATTTTATTCCTTCTCACTAATGTCGTACATTTTCAGTTAATAAATGAATCTGCATCCAAGGCTTCCACCGATTGTTTGAAATCGCAATATCAATACCATTTAATACTGAACATTGTTATTTTTGCCACGTTTGTCTTGCCAGTTAAGAAGGCTTCCAAACCCTTGATTAAATCTGCTTGGTCGAAACGACAAACCCCACAGGTAAACGAAATACGGTAGAAACTTGAGACTCTGAATTGAACTTGAAGCCTTAAATTCAAAACAACATCTTAACCATACGTAGGATATTTTCCCCGATTAACACTAAATTGCCGACGGCATCTCTTACCAGCTTTTTTTTAATCAAACTCGTGAAGAGCCGTTTAAAGCTTGTTCTTTCATACTTTTCTGAGGAAATCTTCACTAAGGGCGAAGTCTTCACTACCTCTCTGCGTTTCGTTCGACGGTCGAGGGAAAACGAGCTGAAACTACGACAAAGCCACGTACAAATTTCAACATGTGGAAAAGGCTACCTTTCATTCTTCAAAATTGGCGCGAAATAGCAATGACGTGGCGGCAAGTAATTGTAGCGATACCGCGTACGCACAAGGTCATGTTTTAAGCTGTTTGATGCGCCAAACATTATATAGATTTACTTGTACTGGCCTACCTATATATAAAATAGTCACTCGATGAATGGTCTTCATAGAGTACGCTTTGAGTTCTATTTATCTAAGGCATGCACGTTCAATTCGCCCATGAGTTACGAGGCCGGCAGCAGTGACAAGTATGTATAGAGATGTTTGTTTAACAATTGGTTCATGCTTTAGCGTGCACTATCGAGTTATGGAGCACCCGGGAAGTTTGGAGAGCACGAAAGAAGCTTAAGAGTTGCCCGAGGCGATAGCCGAGGGCAACTCTAGCTTCTTTCGTGCTCTCCAAACTTCCCACGTGCTCCATAACTCGATAGTGCACGCTAAAGCATGAACCAATTGTTTTACAACATAGCCGGTGGAATTGTACATCAAAATCCGACGCGAAAAATGCCGGGACAACAATATCAGTTGAACCGAATCGTGACGGCGCTGATGCCGGGTCTCCTTTTCCTTTGTTTTTCTCTTTTTCTGCCTCATTTAAGAACTCTAGCCCAAGGGAAACAGTCGAAACATTGTCTTCGTTTTCGGACTAGTAGGCCGAGTTTCTGTTTGCATTCGTTATTGTCGCGAAATATATTATATTTCCCCGTGCTAACAATGGCCGCTCGCGCGAAAAAAAAATTTCCGGCGAAGTCGGATTTGCTGACGCTATCAGCGTGCATTATCGGGATTTTGAGCACGCTTACGTATAATGAGTTTGATTGCGCGACTCTGCTAGCTATGTTCTAATCTATTTTAAATCGTTCGATGAGAGTATTATAAGATCCAACGTTACTTGGAATCCAAATTTCTCCTCAAGACCATAAACAATGGGACAAAACGTAAAAAATGTTCAGTTAAAATGAGTACATTTTGGACTTTAACACAGGTTCGTGCCGGAAAAAATCTTCACCAGCCTTTAACTTCCACTGAGAATGTAAACATGTGAATTCTCTGTTGACACATTTACCCTTGAGAAAACCCAACGCATGTTGGGAGAGCATACCGAAATGGCAATGAAGAATTAGGCTCTTTAAACATGTCCTTATGGGTCGATGCATCTCAGGAGCATACTTTTTCTTTTTTTTTTTTTTCGTTTTTATTTTTTTTATCTATTTTCAAAGAAAAAAAAACACAGATCAGACAGGAACGACTTCTGCAAATCGATGTCAATACATCTCTTTCACTTTCAAATCTCGGCTAACAAGCCATCCCTTCGCACAGCAGGAGAGAATCCTTTAGAAAATTGTTTCAAAAAAAGTTATTCTCTAATCAAGAGCTTATTTATTGAGTTATATGTAAGATACACAACGTTTGCATAACTTTTTCGCTGTTTATTTTTCTTCTTTCTGGCGTTTTGGCGTCAGTTTTACGTCGCGTACAGTTTCCAGTACAAACGAAATACAAGGAGCCAACGCATTATTTTGTAGTCACTAACTTGTGCTCTTTGTTAAAATTTCCTGGACTTTTATGACCCATTTCTTTTAGGTATCAACTGAGGTAAGAGAAGCGAAAGTTTCAGACGTAAGCACAGTATTTCTTGGTTTTTCTTTATCATCATTTAAGGGGGAGGGGGGGGGGATCGAGGAAAAACAAGACAGTTGCCACCGCACGAAAACTTATGCCAAACAAGGAAAGAGCTTCCAAGAGTTCTAACTCTGACTACCACTGAGTTTATACTTTTTCATGCTCTCTTATTCCTTCTAATAATCATTTCAGCCAGATTTTCTTGATGTTACACCACTGTTCAGCGCTATTGTAGCAATGAAATGAATTGCTATTAGAAGACTCTTGTTCAATCCTGCTCTCATTCAGCTGGAAATCGAAAACGAAAAGTCTTGAGAAGATCGACCGTTAGAACGTCAGTAATTTCCCTCCTCTACCCGTCATTTAAGATTTAAGGACTGCAGCTTTAAATCGCGACGACAATGGGTCTGTTGCGGCTGTAATTTACGAAAGTACTTGTCCTATATCTGAAGTAATTAAATGTCGCCGTTCCTCTTAAGGTCTCCATTTAACGTTCCCAACACCGTGGAATTGTCTTTTAAGTGCTTGGGGATCCGCCCAGTCTGAGTTAAGGTAACTGTCGTCTTCGTCTGTTTCCAGTTTCTATAGAAACAGAAACTTGTTTATAAATAAAAGGAATGTACAGAGCTTGATCCTTTGCTCCTTAGCATTAACATTCAAAAATGCATTCTTCTCACTGTTCTCTTTACAATTCATGTTCACTCTAAATTCAAGGGCGATACTGCTAGGTGGATTGAAAGCCAGTCACTCTTAGAGATCAGTTGTCATGACAGAATCTGGGTCTGTCAAATGTGTTTAGCTGCATGTTTCAAAATAGTCTAAACAACTAGATCAAAGATATCATAGCAAGACACACTTTCAGTCTAATACAATATTGTTTAAAGTTACTTTATTGATTATTTCATCAAATTTACAGGATTTTGGCAACTAAAAATATTGTTTTTTCAGGGTTCTATATAAAAACTCACCTTAAGGTCTTCTTGTTTTCTATAGGCATAAGCCATCATTTGTTTCCGTTGCTCTTCACTGAAAACCGGCTCTCTGCTGGGTGGCCCTTGTCCCTTCTGTAATCAAGAGGAAAAAATATTCTGTACACCTTTTAACTACATTCACTAACTATACATACATGAAGATTGAGGAAAGAATTTAAACGTATACTAGAATCTGAAGCACATCTTTGAAAACGTTTTTTAGACAAGGCTGTGGATCATGGCCATAACCTAAGATGTTGTAAGATGAAATCAGCACACATCAGAATACCTGCATCACGCTCTATTAGGCACCAACAATCGTTTATTCCTAGAGGTGCTAAGCTTAACTTAATTTGACACACCTTAATTGTATATATATTTGTTGTGTTTTGAATTTTCAAATTTGAATTTTGAATTTTTTTACTGTAATAATACTGTAATTCTTATCACCAAAGGTAATAAATAACGGTATTATTAATTATAATTATTATAAGTGTACAAGTTAAGAATCAAAAAGGAAAAAGCAAAATAAAAACGTAGATAAAGCCAAAATGAATCAAAACACATTAATTAGTATAACATGTACCTGTAGTATCAACCCCTTCAGATGCATTACTAATTAAAATTTTATTGCAGTTCTTAATCCATCTGAAATTGATATTCATAATTAAAGGGTTCAACCCAGTCAACATCTTTCACATAAGACCAGCTGACCTACAGTATCCCCCCTTCTTACCCTCCCCCCCCCCCACAACCCACACACACACACAAGTCAAACACCATAGTGACTACCACCACTGCAGAGGCTTCCTTAACTTCAACTGTATTCACTGTAATGACAAGTGTAAGCAATAATAAAATAGTTTTCCTCATTGTTCACCTTCTGAATTTTGATAATCAGTTTTGTTTTCTCATTTTTCCCAATAAAGTCTTGCAGCTTTTTCCCTCTTTGAAGCTCTTTCCCAGCCCACCACAATTGGGTGGTGGTTTCATTCAACACTTGAAGGGAAGCCTGTTAGTAAAGAAGGTACATCAATATAAATTCATGCGTGTAAATTCAGCAGTATAATTTAGGAGAGAGAAGGGAAATATGTAATAGGGTCATTCCACAGTATTTTGCATGTCACTGAGGGGACAATTCAGAGGAGAATATCATAGATAGCTCCCCAGCTTAATATAATTCAGTTTAGTGAGGACTTCTAATGGATACAACAGCTAATGATTGTTTTAAATCAAACTATTTCCAAATGACTTCTTCCACATTTGGGGGGAATTAGTCATTTATTTAGATTGTCACAGAGGGGACCAGAGAAACTATGAAAACTGAAAGTTAAAATTTAATCTCAGATTTCTGTGAATGTATAATGGCAGCAACAATAATTTAGTACATAGTTTATTTAGATGTTAATCAACAATAAAACTGCCTTAAATGGAAAAGGCCTTCCTCCTCTCTTACATTGTACAGGAACAGTAAGTGCTCGTGGTTATTGTCACGGAGGGGACTGTCACGGAGGGGACCTTTTGTCCAATAGGCAGCAGTGATCAATTTGAACCAATTTTCCAGCCTTAATATGAGTTTACAGCCCCAGTTTAATTCA